TTAACTTTTGTTTTATTTAAAATAATAAATACATTTTTTACTCTTTTTACTACAAACCCGCACAGTTTTGATTGCATGTCTCCTTTATTTTTTTTTTACTATACATAGCCTTCCATTGAGCTCTGCAAAATTGTAGTTATTTTCGAATGTTTATTTTTCGCTTTTGCTTGTTTACCTTTTCCCTTTCAACGGCAGCGCTTTTGTTCTGGCTAACACTGTTTTGATGTGTAATTTTTCACTATTCCCTGCTTGTTTGCATTGTTCATTTTGCTTCGCAATTCAGTTTTTTCTATTTTGCGCACATTGTTGCAATTTCAGGGCGCTAGCAAATAGCTCAGGTGTAGACTAAAATATAATAAAAATGTGCTCGGGCGAGGTGAGCAGTTCACAAAAGCGCCTTGTAAGGGTTAATAGTGGAAATGGGGTGATTATGAAGGAGTAAAGGATATTGTAATCCTAAAAGAAAACATTCGAAACTATTTTTTACGGTTCATAGTAACTAGCTTTTGCAATTTGTAAGTCTTGCTAATTGAAAAAATATTAAGTGAGCATAAAGAACCGATTAGTTTTACTTTTAGAGCCTTAAATTTTGAGGTTATGGCAATGATTTTAAATGCAAATTAATGTATTAAAAAAACTTGGCAAATCTTAATAAATTGAAAACAAATAATAAATTGAAATAAAGCTTGATTTTCTGCAAATTCTTGTAATTTCATGTGGAAATTAACCGTTTACTTTGAGTTCTAAGACTACAATTGGAAAAATTTAGGTAAAACTTTAAAAACGCTTCAAAGTCTCAAATATATAATTTATCTAAGAGGCAAAAAAAAAAAATAAGAAATCTTGGAAATAAAGTTGGAGAAATTCCTATATCTGTAACTGAAATGAAAGTAATCGGTCTGAATAAAAATTGGTTCAACTTTAGAATAAAAGACGATTGCGAGAAGGAGATTTTTACAAAAGTTTTATCAGTAAAAAAAAGGTGTCGAAAACTAGAAAAAGTGAGTTGGAAAATTTGAAGAGTTTTAAACACAAATTAAGCATAAATTTTTGCGAAAAAAGTTCAATTTTGTAAAATGAATTTAAAAAAAAACAAATTATTGTTTTAAATAACAAAAGTAAGAAGAAAAACAAGAAAAACTTTCAATTGAGCTATACCGGAGCTATAATACCCTTCACAGCTGCTTTTTTTTATTGCACAAAAGGGTTAAAAAGAGCTTTATATTAGTTTTGATCGAACTGTCAAACAGACAGCTATATGATATAGTGAACCGATCTGAAGAATTTCTTCGGAGAATGTAGCGCTGTCTTGTATAATAAGCTATACCAAATTTCGTGAAAATACCCAGTGAAATAAAAAAAAAATTGGATACAAGAATTTGTTTTGATAGGCCGGTTTGTATAACAACTATAAGCCATCGTGTTTCTCTTGGATAATAAACTATATTCAATTTCGCAAAGATAACTTGTAAAATAAAAAAGTGTTTCATACAAGAATTTTATACCGTTAGACAGTTTATCTGGCAACTAGTTCCTATATCGGTTCGATTTAAAAAATGTATTCGGACGCTACAATGTTGCTGTTGTTCTTGTCAAACAAAACCGTTTTCCAAGCCATTTTCAACACTCATTTCACTTACTGTTATTATAAAATATTTGTAATAATGTAAATTGTACAACACTTACATTTACTTATTATTCTCCGGCTCTGCTGCACTCATGTAATGCCCAAAGCGCGCTGGCAACGTGTTGCTTGTATGTTGTTTTTATTTTTGCTTTCTTGCTTTTCGTAATTTTTTCTAGTTTTGCACAAAACTCCTTCGACCGGTTTGCAGCTTTGTTTCACTTATTTCGCTGCTACGTTTAGCTTTAACAATTTCTTATTATTTTTATATTTTATTTTCCACGCCTTCTTATTCATTCACGGCACAGCAGCGTCTACGCAAAGAAATGCTGCACATGCAAACGCTCACGGCTGCCAATAAACACACGCACTCACTTAACCAGCACTGTGCAAAGCATAAACCAACAGATTTGTTGTAGTTATTCATCAGTCGATAATCGATAAACAATTCTCCGTCTGCACGTCAGACAGTCAGCGAAGCGCGTAAGCAGGTAGCATTCGAATCGTCGTGCCTGCAATCACTACCTGTTCTTAGCTGCGACGCACCGGCATAAATAGCGAAGAACCAAAAATCATAAGCACACGCACACACACGCGAAAGAAACACAAGATTTTTTTTTTTAAAGAAACTCAAAACAACTCAAAAACAAAAGATTACAAGCAGCATTCAAGTGACTGCTCGACGCTGAAAAGCAGCAGCGTCTTCGTTTCCTAGTTATTGCTTATGCACATACACATACAAACACACACATGTGCATGCGATTCTCCTTTCAGACACACGAACGGAGATTTGCTTTGCCTGATTGATTCGTTGCGCCGCTAAGCAGTTGTTGTTATTGCTGTTTGTATTTTATTTTCCACTTTTTGGCTTTGCACAGCCACGAAAATTTTCATTTAACTTCGTGATTCCACTAAAATTATTAAAAACACTTTGTATTATCATTTATTTATATCCACAAACATTCGTAAACAATTATTTTCGCGTAATTCCCTATTTTCACAAGCGATTTACCGATATTTCTGAATGGTGATGTTCGCGAAATTCACACTGCGACATTGGACACCTTGCGGTCGTGTAGTGAAATTTTTATACGAAAATGCGCAATCGTCTCCGTTCGCCTTTAAACCCGAACTATCAAACACGTCTAAACGGCACAAAAACCGGCACGAAACTAATGGAGACAAATGGTCGCACAGCGCAGCAAACCAACCAACTTCTAATATAGAGCTCGATGCTCGCGCTGCTGTGAAGTTGTTCGTTGGCTGGTTCGATGTTGCGTTGGGGTCGAGTGTGTGCGTATGCATATGTGTGGGGAGCTGACTGTTGAACATTTGTGGAACGCATTTTTTGATGAAGGCAAATATGAGCTAAGCAGATGATTCAGTAGGATGTATGATATTGAACAGGTGAGAAGAATTAGTCACTGGTGTCAGCACACAACATCTGTGAAGACAGGTAATCATAAGATCGCTTGACTACCGCGTGGAATAAGTTTCTTGAGTGCAGCAGTGTTTATTTCCCACAAGATTGTATAGTACGAGTTGTGAATATAGACTAGTTTCAAGTGCCTGGTTGTCTGTTTGAAGGACTTGGACCAAAACTGCAGACCTAAGCATCAAATAATTCCTTATCTAAGTGAACAAAATGAATCTTCAGATGAAAATTACCAGCAGAAAAGAAAGTCAAGATACGCAGAAATTTAAACCCAGAAACTCCCGTTGGTTGGAGCCCCACACTTATTTATAAAATCAGCTAGTCTCAAATACTTGTTCTACTCATGCATGCCTCAATATTTTCTGCACTTTACGTATGTAAATCCCTCAGTGTCTGTCTCACGCGACCACCATCAACATACAATCCACAACCAACATATTCGTTGATTTACTCAAATTCGTTTCAAACACACATTCAGTCCATCAAACATGTTGCACACAGGTAGCAGCAACAGCATTCAGTCCATAAATAATTACCATTCACTGCATTTGCTTCTGCCTATCAATCTTTCGATAATACGAGAGTACCGCATGAAATCTCTCGCTCTCTTTTTAAAGTCTCGCTCGCAAAGATGCTGTCATTGAATCAGCTGTTTGTGTTTGCGCTGTTAAGTTATAGTCGTAACCGTGTTGAGTAAACAATATTAAATCAAATTAATAGTCAATAAAGGCTCTTGAGATTATCATCGACATATGGCCAATACTTCTAAGGTATGAGATAATGCCTAAGGCCAACCCTGCTCATGATTTTAAGCCATTAGAGCCGGGCTAAGCGTCACTACGGCCACGATATCATACTCGACCTTGTTAATGAAGTCAAGTTAAGCTGGCACTGTGTACGAATAAAGGAGGCCCACATGGAACTTAACACATCATTTTTATTCCCTAGTAGAGAAAATTTAACACATGGTCCTGGTACTACAATTCTCTCTTTTAAGCCGAAGGTATAACTCAAAGTGTCTAGTTGGTCTCTGCTCTAATGAGTTAGCCGAAGCGCCAATACTAAGACTGTTAAGTCTCAATGCGTAATGCTATGCAAGTAGGCAAAAACTGCTTAACTCGATTAATATCATCTGGGTACCCGTTGTTATAGAAAAAGAAGGAAATGAGAGGCAGACGAGCTAGCTCGCTGACACTGGCTATTTATTTGTTCCTCTGAGGGTTTTTGTTTTTTTTCTTTTTGAAAGAAATTTATGAATTTCATATATTTTATGAAATTTAAATTTCAAAAAAAAAAAAAGAAGTTGAGGAAAATTTCGGAACTGTGGTTATATGGCAACGTGACCAAAAGTCATGCACTCATTGCACAATACACTGTTAAGCCGTTAACAGAGTCACGCAGATTTTGATGCGCTCAAAGAGACTTGCCTTTCTCTCTCCACACATGCCTCTCCCTTAACCAGCACTAACCTTACACTAAATATTTCGTGGCGCATGGAATGTTAGCCCTGACCATTGCACATTTTTATTGTTATTGTTGCGTACGGCACTTTTTGTTTACATGATTTACTTTGCTGCTTGTTGGTGGTGACTTTTTTTTTGCCTTTACTTATGTGGATGTGTGTATGTATGCATTCCACATTGAAGAGCTATGCTCTTTAGAGTTTTTGTTGCTTTGCTTATTTGTTTTTCTATTTTTTCGTTGCCTTTTCGCACGCCACCCTAACCTACCACATGCTCGCTTGCACACACATGCATACAAACATACATACATGCATATGTAGATGGTTATTTGCATAGCCCATCAACAGCTGTGTCTTCAGTGGCTGTTAGTCGAGCTCTGCGACTTTCGAGCGTCGCACCTCCGGGAATCGGGGTGACGCAAGGGAGCAACTACGCAGGAGCACATGTAATGATGCAAACATTTTTTCACAAACACACACATATACATTCTCATGTATGAGTAAATGTGTGTGCTTGCATTTAGCATATGAATTCTGCGGTTATCAGTGCAGGCGCCCAAGAGACAACAATTCCGGTCGATGGCACGGCAAGGGAGAGCGCCTGCCGCTGGTATGCGACCGATCGCCCGGCCAATCAGTATCTGTGCTGTCAGTTCGCTCGAAAATGCATTAAATTTTATTGACAGGGAAATATTTGCTAACAAATACTTGCATTACAAATGTTTACATAATTGCAATTCTAACTGAATTTCTGATAAAATTGATGATTTGACGAAAGCAAAAACAATAAAAATATGGCAAACGGGAATTTTCGCTCTAGGTAGGCGCTTGAGAAGGAAGAAAAATTTCGAAGAGAATATTTGAAGTAGAATAGTTAGGTTACAGCGGCCACCTATATACATATGTACATATAACGGAAATACGAAAGAGAGAATGAGCATAGCTTTTTTGATAATATTATAGTTATAGTCTTGTATAAATTTTTTAAAATCTAGACATATTTTGAACGTATATATGTGTGACTATTATTATTTTTAATAAAATAAAATGTTTTGACAAAATGGCGGTTTTAAA